GAAGAGGTGAACTGCCTTTTGGCCTGTAGGGATGATAATTTGGTTTCACAGCTTGTCCATAGCCTCAACCAGGTATCAACAGATCACATGTAAGTATAATTTAAAAGTGAAAAGTTTTGGTCTTACTAAGAGAGTCAGTATTCCTGGTTTTACTCTTTATTTCAGAAAATTTATATACATAGTTTAATTTTAAAATACATGAATATCCAGGGGAGCCTTATGATAAGATTTAAATAGACCCTGTAGTTCTGTGAAGGTCTTTTCAACTCTTTTGGCATAATCTTGGTTCATCAAGATGGGTCTCTGCCGGGAGGTCTAAAGTTGCTCAAGAAGCTATCTCCCCCTTGATATTGCTAAAGTGGTTAGAATTCCCAAGCACTAGGGACTATACTGGTAGCTTTATTTGGAATAGGCTCACATGCTTTCCCTGGGAAGTTAACTAAAACTCAAGGACTGACTCCATGCATAGCTACTACAAAACTGAGAGTAATTTTTCCCAGAATTTATCATACCATCGTAAGTGTATGTTTTCACACAATACACTTTTTTAAATAATATAAACTTAAATTATATAGCTTGTTTATAAAATCTTTGCATATGAGTATACTTTAAGATTTTTTACTATAAAACTTGTACATACTTATAATTATAACATCTTAATACAAAAATTTATAAAAAGTTAAATCTCTTGGGGCATCAGCCTGGCTGAGTCTGTAGAGCATGTGACTCTTGATCTTGGGATTATAAATTTGAGCCCCACATTGGGTATGGAAATTACTTAAATAAAATCTGTAAGGGGCACCTGGGTGGTTCAGTTGGTTAAGTGTCCAACTTCAGCTCAGGTCCTAATCTCGTGGTTTGTAAGTTTGAGCCCTGCCTGGGGCTCTCTGCTGTCAGCACAGACCCCGCTTCAGATCCTCTTTCCCCCCGCTTTCTGCTCCTCCCCTGCGTTCTCTCTCAGAAACAAACATTTTTTTTTAAATAAAATATTTTTTAAAAAGTTACATTTCTCTTATTCCTTCACATCTCACTATACAGCAGTACTCATGTATCCTTTCCATCTTTAATTTTTGCTTTTTAATTTAAAGATTCAGTATTTATAGGAATGAGGATAAAGCACTATACAATGGAGTGGTCTCTGTCATTAGATACAGTACATACTTTGAAGCCATTTTTAAAGCTGATGAATGTTAAGGTAATATACATGTGAATTATCTGATGGGGAAACTGAGAAATAGTTGGTAAAATCAGAAGGAAGTCTAATACTAATATTTTGTCACTCCAGAAATTCAACAGTGACTAAATATTTTGTCACTTGTTATATCTATACATACTTAATCAACAGTTATCACCAAATATTTAAAAAGATAAGGTAAATAGCACATACACAGTTATGATTTATTTTATGGAGAGCTGCCTTAAGATTACCTCCAGAAATTCATTGAAATTTATCATTGGACACCATGTTTATAAATCTTTCTTATTAGATTTAATGATGAGCAGAACAGAGACATGTAGAATATAAAATTAAAACACTGCCTACATTTATCATTTCTGTTCCATAGTTGTAAATTTAATTTGGTACTTACTTTCAAGTTTATTGAAAATTGCAACTATCCATAACCACTTGCTTGGTGTTTTTTTGCTCACTGATGACTTTGAGAAAAGAATATTAGATGGAAAAATTACATAATCTCTGGGTCTTGTCTTAACCAATGTGGCAACAGTATTTCATTCAGAGGACATTCTCAAAAAGGCAGACTCACTCATATTCAAATATAAGAGAGAAAATATATTCCAAGCCCAACTACCAACTTCTGTGCATAATTATCATCTCTGTAACCTTCCATTATTTTGAATAGAGTAGTCTCTGTTTTCTACTTTGAAACTAATGTGAACATTTTTTTCAGTTTCCTTATTTATTTTAAGAGAGAGAGCTAGAGCAGGAACATGTGTGCAGATTAAGGGCAGAGAGAGAAGAGCATTCCAAGTCATTGGAGCTGAAACCAAGAACAAAATGCTTAACCGACTGAGCCACTCAAGAGTTCACTAATGTGAACATTCTTTTTTTTTTTTTTTTAATTTTTTTTTAACGTTTACTTATTTTATTTTTTTTAACTTGTTTTATTTTTTATTTTTTTAAATTTACATCCAAATTAGTTGGCATATAGTGCAACAGTGATTTCAGGAGTAGATTCCTTAGTGCTCCTTACCCATTTAGCCCATCCCCCTCCCACAATCCCTCCCATAACCCTCAGTTTGTTCTCCATGTTTATGAGTCTCTTCTGTTTTGTCCCCATCCCTGTTTTTATATTATTTTGTTTCCCTTCCTTATGTTCATCTGTTTTGTCTCTTAAAGTCCTCATATGAGTGAAGTCATATAATTTTTGTCTTTCTCTGACTAATTTCACTTAGCATAATACCCTCCAGTTCCATCCATGTAGTTGCAAATGGCAGATTTCATTCTTTTTGATTGCAAACCCACACACACACACACACACACACACACACACACACACACCCCACATCTTCTTTATCCATTCATCCATTGAGGGACATTTGGACTCTTTCCATACTTTGGCTATTGTCGATAGTGCTGCTATAAACATGGGGGTGCATGTGTCCCTTCGAAACAGCACACCTCTATCCTGTGGATAAATGCCTAGTAGTGCAATTGCTGGGTCATAGGGTAGTTCTATTTTTAGTTTTTTGAAGAACCTCCATACTCTTTTCCAGAGTGGCTGCACCAGCTTGCATTCCCATAACGTTTATTTATTTTTGAGGGAGAGAGAGACAGAGCACAAATGAGGAGGTGGCCAGAGAAAGAGGGAGATGTAGAATCCCAAACAGGCCCCATGGTCCAAACTTTCAGCACAGAGCCCGATGCGGGGCTCGAAATCAAGAACCAGGAGATCATGACCTGAGCCAAAGTCAGATGCTCAACTGACTGAGCCACCCAGGCGCCCCTTATGTGAACATTCTTAAGTAAACTAATAGTTCCATAAAATGTTTTGGCCTTTTTTTTTTTTCCTGTTTAAAATGGGAAAAAAAGTTGTCTTTAGAAGAACTTCTCCCTGTCATTTTTGATAATTCTGTTTCTTCCAGGAATAGTGTCTTCAAAAATCCATGAAATTGTTGAACATCTTTTGTGAATTTTTTTTATATGCCATAAGTTCTTGATTTTCTACCTCAGTCCTTTATAAATTTCACTAGTAAATTGCTATCTAACTAATGTAGAATAGGGAATTCTTAATCACTATTTTCATTTTTGATATTTGTTTTTTTAATCCCAGAGAGTTGAAAGATAACCTTGGCAGTGATGATCCAGAAGGCGACATACCAGTTTTGTTGCAGGCTGTCCTGGCAAGGAGTCCTAATGTTTTCAGGGAGAAAAGTATGCAGAACAGATATGTACAGAGTGGTAAGGTTTTTAATTGAATTTCATATTATATTTTTTTGTGGGTCTTCTATCAGAGATTGTTTCATTTGTAAATTCAAGTGTCTCCTTTAACAAGGTAGCCTATCTATGAATGCTATGTTGATACTTTGAATCAAGCCAAGAATAAGAAGGAGACCAAATGAATGTTAATATTCTTGAAGTTTAATATGTAAATAAATTCCTTGGAAATTAGACAAAGCTGAAGTGTATTTTGTTATATATTTCAGAATGCATTCATTTACTCAGAGAGCTTTAAAAGGCTTTTCTTATATCAGAAAATCACGGAATTGATATAAAAGGAGTCTTTTCATTAATCAAATAATAAAAATACTTGCAGAGCTTTTCAACATGCAGTACTTACATAAATATAACAGGTTTTAGTGTTAGTACTGATAGCGATTATATTCATAGTTCGGTAGCAGTTGGTTTCACTCTTTTGCTGCCTTAGCAACAGAAGAGTAGGTTTATAAGTATTATTATTAAGGAAAAATTTATTTATAATAAATATTATAAAAAGCATAAAGATATGATATTCAATATAGATACAATTTTTATGTAATCAAGGTGTACCCAGGAGCATTGGTACTGAATCTGGCAAGCCCAAGTATTTATTTGGCTCTCAAGATTAAAATAGTTAGAAAGGAATAGTTTAGACAGCTCAGGAAGGTCCAACTTAATTAACTGATGAATTGTATTCAAGAATATTGGCAGATTTATTGACAGTACCTCCATGAAGCCCTCCATTCCCTTTCCTAGTTTTGTCTTGTTTTTTAAATAGTATTTGTTAATTTTATGTATTTGTGTGTGAATTGTGTTTTTAAGCAATTGCATAGTTACTATTCATTCCCCAAAGTGAGCCAATGGAGATGCCTCTGCCCAAACTCCCCTTCAGCAAATTGAAGGCAAGTCTGCAGGGCGACACTGTATCTTCACTAGAACCAAGAAGCTAGATTGCAGTAGGAGGAGACAGATAGGAATGGTGAAAGTAAATCTAGAATTACAAATGCTCTGGAAGAATGTTGAATGAAAGAAAATATGGAGAGATCATTGATTAGAAGAAAAACTTACAGGAAAGGAGCATTAAGTATAAGATAATGTGAGTGGATATAAAATTGAATAAAGGAAGTCTTCCAAAGCTATTTATACTACATTTTGTAACATATTTTTAAATATTTAATTTGGGTAGTAAATTACTCTAATAAACTTTTTAGAGTATTCACGTTTAAATCACACATTTTGTATTTTATACTACATACACTTATATTTTAGCCCAAAACGTTAATTTCTCCATATCATACTTTGTGAAAACAAACTAGCATTAAAAAGTGAATTGACACGTTGTGTGTTGTGATTTTTTTTTTCTAAGCGTTTCCCTGGTGATATTTGGCTTTATAATTTAGAAAAGTGATTCTTGATTGCTAAATGTTAATGTGAGTCACACATATGGAGAAAATTTAATAATATGCAAATCACTTTATTCATAGTTGTTTGGAGCTTTGAGATAATCAGGAAGGACTATTAGGAATTTTATTTGGGCCCCCTCCCCCCCTTTTTTTTTTCTTTCTTTTTTAATAAAACCATTGCTTTCAAACTAGTAATCCCAGCTTGTTCCAGCCTGTTAATTCAGGGGAAACATTTTTTAACTATCATCTCATAGAGGATTGCTCTCCCGCTCAAAAAAAAAAAAAAAATCATCAACAGTAATTATAGTACTTAAATTATTAAGCTATGGAACATATGACTTACTACTGAATTTGAGTTGGAAGAGAAAGCTCAGAAGTTAATTTAGACTATATATAAAAGAAAACACACTATTAGTGGTAGTTTTCCAGGCGATTTTGAGCCCTCGTTTTATTCAACTACTCTCCTAGAGCTAGAATCCCTTCTGAGGTATTCCAGGCAAATGAACATGTAGCTTCTGTTTGAATGTTTCTGGTAAAAGGAACTTTTCATATCAATAGCAGGAACTGGAATTTGGGAATGTGATATGATGTGTAAAGCTTCCAAAAAGATTGGCTATACATATCATAAGAAAGTTCAGGTGTAATCATAGATTTTTATCTTTGATTTTACAATGCCTAAATAACTGGATTTTTTTGCATCTCCTATGTAAAAAAAAAATGCCCCTTGTGTAATAATTGAAGGAACAATGTCTAGCTTGAAAAGAAATATGAGACCTTGTGTAATAATTGAAGGAACAATGTCTAGCTTGAAAAGAAATATGAAAATCTGAAAGCTGTCCTCCTCACATTTTCATTCTTTAGTCAAATATTCATTTAATCCTTACTGTGGCAAAGAATTATCGGAGAAGAAAGAATAGGAGCGTTCTGTTTTGCATCAAAACATTGTGATGGAAATGGCAGCAACTGAAACTTTGGGCCCCTCAATAAAGTAGTACTTTTTAAAACTGAGGTCTGAATCTCAGTGAAACAAATAGAATGAAATGAAGCTCCTGAAGACTGGGGATGTATGTAATAAAGTATGTCCCATATAATGGAAAAACCACCAGAGGACCTATTGTAGAAGTAATTGTGTAGTATTTGGTCAGGGATTAGAAAAGGTGACTTCTAAAGGTTCTTTCAATTTTAAGGCTAAATGATAGGACATTAAGTAAGCAAGTAGAATTAAAAAAAAAAATCTCTATCTCTGGTCTTGCATTAGTTATATGGTAAAAGGATGTTTTAGTAAAATTGGTTGTGCTTGAAATTTAGTTTCTGTGTTTTGCTCTTCAAAATGAACCTGTGAGTCAAAAAAAGGAAAGAACAGAAAGAACTTTTGAATGTTTGTGATAGAGCAATTGCTTTAAATCATTTAAAGATACTTTACCATTAAAACAAAAAACACATTTTCCATTCTTATGTGTTGTGTAGGAATGATGATGCCTCAGTATAAACTTTCTCAGAATTCCATGCACAGTAGTCCTGCATCTTCCAATTATCAACAAACCACTATCTCACATAGCCCCTCCAGGTAATATATGCATCATTTTATTAAGTACTATTTTCTGTGATGAGCATGCTTGTGAATTTATGCTGTATACATACAGTTAGGTAAAGGTGAATTATATGTAGTTAAAAAGTTGAAATGCTTAGCCTTAAATAGTAACTCACACAAACATTTGTCTTAAAATGTTATATGCAGAAATGCTCTAATATACTAATTGAAGTAGCTACCATCTTGGTAATTTAATTTCATACAGACAAAAGAACGTGTTAAAATAATGTGTTTGAGAGGCACCTGGGTGCCTTAGTTAAGCATCTGATCTTGATTTCAGCCCAGGTCATGATCCTCGGGTAGTGGATCTGCATTGGGCTCGGTGCTGAGGGTGGAACCTGCTTAAGATTCTATCACTTTGCCCCTCTCCCTTGCTCACGTGTTCTCTCTCTCTCTCTCTCTCTCTCTCTCTCTCTCTCTCTCTCTCTCAAATAAATAAATAAATAAATAAAATGTGCTTGAGATAAGAAAATTTGTAGAGTAGAATTTAGGGAGCATGACTTTATCTTAAATAGAGGGATACTTTTATGCAAGTGAAATAAATTAATTACCTGTTTAGTTTAACTGTTAGATTATCAATTGGGGATAATTTTTATATTATCTACTTTTCAAAATTTTCTGTTTGCATAGGTATTGTTTTATACAAATCAGAGTTGTGAGAATTTTATGACCATGAAATTTTAAGGAATAGCATATTTATTTCCTATCCTGATATTGTTTGTTTGGATTTTGGGTTTCAGCCGGTTTGTGCCACCACAGACAAGCTCTGGGAACAGATTTATGCCACAACAAAATAGCCCAGTGCCTAGTCCATATGCCCCACAAAGCCCTGCAGGATACATGCCATATTCCCATCCTTCAAGTTATACAACACATCCACAGATGCAGCAAGGTAAGAAAGTTGGTTATTTATCTACAGGGAATGCCTGTAATTTAAGCAAATAAATTTTTTTTTTAATAGTTTTTGAAATACAAACTAAAACAGGACCCTGAAATTCATCATTTGGGAGATAAAAGGATCCCTGTCACATGACTCTTTGGATTAGATTATTATACAACTGAGTGTATCTAGTTATGAAATTAGGAATATTTTTTTTTAATTGGGCTGTGTTCTTACATAGCACTAAGCCAAAGAGAATTTTGTTTTAATTGGTGAAGTATGTATAGTGTGAAAATTTTACTATAAAGTAAATACAGTGCTGGTAGAGAAAGTTCTGGGATTATGTTACTAGTTCTCAGTTGAAATTAGCTGATAATGTCTTTGTAAGGTTATATTGCCTTGGGATGTATGTCCTGGCTTCTAAATAGTTTTTTATTAATAGTATAAATTTATACTTTTTTTGAGAAATTATAAAAAGTGTAGAAGAGACTGTTAACAAATACCTGGTTTTGTCCCCTATAAATAATAGCAAATTTTTAACATTTGCAGTCAATTATTAGTTCCTGTGTGTATTCTTCTTTTCTATCATACATGGAATCAAATGTCTTTTATAAACTTTTCAACTTACAAACTGTTAATGTAGTCATCAATCAAAACCACCAACTTCTGATTTCTCAAAGCTAGATAATGAAATACTAGGTTGAGATTATTTCATACACTAATTCAAGGGAAAACCAGGAGGTGGATCACACATTTGGAATAGACAACTCCAAAATTACAGACTTTAGTGTGAGTGCTGAATATAAGTATGTATGTATTATATAGGTTCTTGATAATTGTAAAATATTAGTATACTCTGGCACACAAAGATATGAAGAACATTTTAACTAATGAAAGGGAAATGTTAAAAGGATGCATTGGTTTCTTATGGAAATATCCATATACACAATTGTATGTGTAGGAAAGAATGTAAATTTTTACTCTGTTTACTGTTGTTTTTTAAACAAGATAAATCCAGCTTTTTCAGAAGAAAAGTTGAAATCACAAAATCAAAAGAGAAATATGATTTGGGCATCTTCCTATTCGGTAATGAGTCATTTCTTGGAAATTCTCAGATATTTGAGCAACTAGAAATGTTACTCCAGGATTAGCCCCACCTAGATATTAAGGTTAATTAGAACATGTAGAGTGGTAAGAAACAAACAGATAGGTAGATGGGACAACACAGAATCCAGAAATTAGGCAAATATATATGGGAATTTAGAATATGTGGAAGGTAACATTTGAAACATTTTTTTTCAACCTTATGTTATAAAAATTTTAGCCATACAGAGAAGCTGAAGGATGAGCATAATGAACCCCTTCATCAACAGGAATAATTCTTTGCCATTAAATATAGTTGCTAGGAAAGATATTTATATAAACACCAAATATAATTATTCACTTCTAAAAAAATTAAGGACAGTGAATTAGTAATTCACTTCTTAAAAAATTAAGGACAGAAATGAAGAAACAGATTAATATAATTTTTTGTATAGTATATATTTTGTATTATAATTTTAATATAAATATTTGAATATACATAAGGACAAGTAAATATGGGGAAATTATATTTTCAAAATTTATTACGAACACAAAGTATTAAGTTTTAATATACCAAGATTTTACACAGATTGATACGAAGAAGACAAAAATAGAATTAAGAAGAAACAGACATACTGAAAAAGAAAACAAATTGGACACCAGAAAGATTTAATGCCTATATTAAAATATGGTCAGCCTGGCTGACATTAAAGAGATATGAATCAAAATTACGATGAAATATATTAACCAGATTAGTAAACATTTTTTAGTTATACCTAGTATCAACAAATGTGCTGGGAAATTTGAACTTCCTACATTCTTCATTGGGATATAAATTGGTACAATCTTTTTAGAGAACATTTTGACAATATCTATCATAATTTTAAATGCACATACATCCTTTAGTAGTTCAAATTCTCTCTCCCTTAAGAGAAGCAGAGGGGATAAAACATAATCAGACAGTTTTATCTACAAGTTCTACCAAGCATTCAAAGGAGGTATTCTAATCTTCAAACATTCCAGACAGAAGAAAAATGTCAACACTCTTCTACTTCATTCTATAGAGTTAGATAATCTGGATACCAGAATCAGGTATAGTGAAGAAACTGTGAAAAAGGAAAATTATAGACCAGTTGTCACCTAAAATTTCTAAATAAATATTACCAAACCAAATAAGCAGTGTTGGTAGCCTGTATGATAAAATTGGATATATTATCGGGAATACATGGATAATTATTAGACAGTTAACACAAATTTAAGAGGTTGGGGATGCTGTGTGCCTCATAATAGGTACCTAAAGAACATTAAAAATTTTTAGCTTTTGTTCATGATTTAAAAGCTTTTCACTGAATAGGAAGAGACTGGTACAACCTTATCCTGATCTTTCCACCTAGGGGTGAAAAATGAGAAACATTCTCCATGAAGTCAGGAATAGGACATGAGTGCCTACAATCATCCCTTTTACTTAGTGTGGTAGTGGGTGTTTTAATACAGGAAGATAAGCGAATATATGCATATATATATATGTATATATTTTGTATGTATAGTTATATGTCTAATTATTGGTAAGGAAGAAATGAAAGTGTTAGTTTTCAAGTGATTGTCTTCATAGAAAATCTAAGAGAGGGGCGCCTGGGTGGCGCAGTCGGTTAAGCGTCCGACTTCAGCCAGGTCACGATCTCGCGGTCCGTGAGTTCGAGCCCCGCGTCGGGCTCTGGGCTGATGGCTCAGAGCCTGGAGCCTGTTTCCGATTCTGTGTCTCCCTCTCTCTCTGCCCCTCCCCCGTTCATGCTCTGTCTCTCTCTGTCCCCAAAATAAATAAACGTTGAAAAAAAATTTAAAAAAAAAAAAAAAAAATCTAAGAGAAGCTGCAGGTAAGATAATAGAACTTAAAAAATATTCCACAGTTACTAGATACAAGATCATTGTAATAAAATTTAGTTGCATTTTTATACACCTAAAATAAGCAATTATAAGTATAATCTTTCTTTAATATTATCAACAACTTAAAGGAAAAAGCATAAGATATCTAAGAATGAATTTAACAATGTATAAGACCTTTGTGAAGAAAATTATAAAACTTTTGAAAGAGCTAAAAGAAAACCTAAGAATATGAAGTTATGCCATCTTCATGGATGGAAAGACTCAGTAGGGTAAAGATTGAAATTTTCCCAAATCTGTAAACTCAATACAATACCAATAAAAATCTAAAGCAGGATTTTGTGCAACTTAAACTTCTAAAAATTCATATGGAAGAATAAAAGTCCAAGAATAGCAACATAATTTGAAATGGAATGAGATGTAGAAGCTCAGTCTGGCAGTTACCAAGATTTATTGTATATTATTGTATATTATTGGTCCGTGGAGGAGTAGAACATGGGGAAATGGAATTTGATAGAGCCTAGGAACATACCCAGGAACAAATAAAAACTTGATACATATGGTATTATATCTTAATTGGGAAACACTGGTTTCTTTAATAAATTGTGTTGAGACAATTAGTCATCCATGTGGATAAAGGTAAAATTGGATTCCTGTCTCAGCTACACGTAAAGATGCATTAAAGACCTAAGCGTGAAAAAAACAAAACTGTGGAATTTTAAAACAAAATGCAGAAGACTGTCTTCGTGATTTTGTGTTAAGGAGGGAATCCG